ACCGGTGTGGGGGTATTCAAGCATTTTAAAATGAATAATTCGTTTTTGCAACAACCATTGATCATCTACCCAATGGAAAGTCACACATAAATACTATCCCAAGAATCGGCGGTTAAAGACACTCTACAATTAAGGTTACTCAATTCGTCTTGTAACCTAATTTTGTACTCTTGGAAATTTTTCATGGCGGCAGAACGAACGATTTTCCTAGAGATTTTTTTATGTTGGGGTTGTAATGTTTTGTTAATGTAAGTGTTAAATGGGTCACTTTCGGAGAAAAGAAAAGGTTATTCGGCGTGTACTATCATTTTTCCTAGTTTTTCCCTATCCCTTTCATAGTTGTAGGTAAAGCCGTGTGGATGGAATTGGGAAATTCTTGGCTGGGTTGGAGCACTAGCTGGTTTTGCACAACTTTTCATGTGTCTACTTAAATGTCCCGTCCCGGACTTGGATTGTGTCAAGTATATATTACCACATGTGTTACATTTTGCTTTTCTTTGTTCTTTATTTCGCAAAAAATAATTCCAAACATCACTTTTACGGCTTTTAATATGAACCATTTTACTTTTGGTTGACCATTTGTCTTGTGTGTTTTGGGGTTGGGTATTTGTAGTTTTGTGAGTTTGTTGGTTAGCAGTAGAACCGGAAGCATTAGGGGTATCTTGTGGGCTACCTTGGCTAGAATAAAAACTTTGTGGGTCAAAGTAATTAGGTGGGAATTGACCAAATTGTGGAAATTGGTTTTGTGGTGGAAATTTTGTGAAAAATTGGGCATATTCATATTATTCATGTTATATGGATGAAAATTGGAAGAACCATCGTGCCTAAATTGATCAAAGTCTTGGGGGACGTTACTGGGGTCATTGGTCGGACTTGGAATTGAGGAGCTAATTAGATTAGGTGATTCTCTAGACTTATTACCACGGACAAATTGGACTTTCCTAGAGGATGATGGATTGTTTGTGTTTGGTGATGCCATAATTAACAATAACAATAATAATAATTTTAGCAACAATTTTAACAATAATTATAACAATAATAATAATTTCTAGCAACAATTATAACAATAATAATAACAATAATAATAATTACTAACAACAATTATAACAATAATAATAATTAATAACAAAAATTATAAGAATAATAATAATAATTAATAACAATAATTATAACAATAACAATAATAACAATAATAAATTAAAGATTTGTTTAGATCTTACAACCGTGCTTCAACGCTTTCCATTAATAACGATTACGAACTTTTAATTTTTTCGTTATTAAGAGGTAGTAATTAGAGAATTTAAGAGAATATAAGAGATAGAAGATTATTAGAGAATATAAGAGATTAGAAGAAGAGATTGTGAATTTTGTGATTTGGGAAGTGAATGAAATTTGGTATTTATAGAGAATTTGGGGAGCAAAATGGCAAAAAAAGTAGCCGTTTATGGCTATTGGAGCAACGACTACTAGCCGTTTGTTACCATTGGCACGCGGGCTGGGCCGACACGAAAGTCATGCCTGGCGGGCCGTGCCACGGGCCAGCACGCGGGCTTTCCAGCATGCTCGTGCCGGGCCGTGCTTGAAAAACGTGTATGTTGTCCATGGCACGGCCCACGGCACGCTGGCAGGCCACCGTGCCGTGCCGGGCCACCACCCCGGGTCATACCGTGCCCCACTGAGAAGCGTGTTGTGCTGGGCGGCCCGCATGTCAGCCCGACCCATGCCTAGCTTTACATACAGATGTCAGCAATCCGGCCAAGAGATAAAGATTAAAGCTATGTTCATGGGGATGATTGGTAAGCCCCTTTATAACATCAATGGAAATATGCTACATGATGGTAAGTATGGAATTTTTCCATTTACTTGCCAGCAAAGGGCTAAGAAGAAAAGCAAGAATAAAGATGTAGGGGTCATGGAGACAAAAAGGCTTTGCAGAGTGTGACCAAAGAAGAAATCAGGAAAATGCTCATGAACAACATAATTCCAGCACTACACAGGCAATGACATCATAGTCTGTCTATAGACATATTCATTGAATGAGACAATGCAAAGCCACATCAAATTCCAAGGGATGGTGACTTCATTGCAGCATGTACAACTAATGGTTCAACATTCAAATGATGTTTCAACCAGCACAATCTCTAGATCTGAATGTTCCGGACCTTGGTCTTTGCAAGGTCATTTGGTCCTTGCAATACCAGTCCTTTCCCACAAAAATTGATGAACTAATAGGGCAAGTGTATGAGGCTTATGAATGGTTTGATCCAATACTCAACAAGTACACATGGATCACTTTGCAAGGAGTAATGAATAAGATTTTTAGAGAAAGAAGGGGGTAACAACTTCAATCCACCTCATGTGGGCAAGAAAAGGTTGGACAACCTAGGTCTTCTTCCTGAGTTTTTGGAAGTTGAAAGTGGACTCATTCAACAAGTAGTTGAGCACCTCAACACTCTTTTTATTCCAACAAATCAAGACAATGCAGACTACATGCAAAGAGAGGTTGATGCAGACTAGGTACAACAGATGACCATCATTCAATGACAACATGACTTCCACACATAACCAAAGATAGACTCACAATTGGTTTTCGTCTTAAGTAATTAAGCAACTGTTTTTGTTCATGCTTATAATGCTTTGGTTATGTGTATTTTAGTAGATAAACTTCCTTATTTTTAGGCAGTCATGTAATAAATGATTAGGTTAAGGGACTGTTAACATGTAACCTTTTGAATTGTAATCAATGAATATGAGGATGCATCTTCAAAATGAATTCCATTAGGGAGTTTATTTTTGTTTCAGTGACATGTTGTAGGTTGTTACCTCAACAACAAGTTTAAAAAGGCACTTGTTGGAGCAAAACTAACCTACACATCCAACTCAAAGTGAGTCACTTCATCATTTGGAACTTTTTCACACATAAAACACTTTATGGGGGACTCATACACAAAGGCACATGCACTGACTTGCAAGCACTACTAGGCAACATTCAAATGAGACTGTACACAAACAACCATCCAACATAACCCATCATCCATCAATCATGCATTCCCTTGGCCATTCCAACACTACAAGCACACCAATCCAACATAATCCATCTAACATAATCCAGCATCATATACACGAGCATACATAAACAAAAACTAGCAGGGTACACAAACAACAATCCGACATAATCCAGCATCATATACACAAGCACACATAAGCAAAATCCAGCAGGGAACTCAAACATCCATCCAAAATAATCCAACAGGCTACTTAAAGCTAATGAAACACATCAACCAGCATAAACATCCAAACAACACAATCAAGCAGCATAATAAACCAACAAACAGTTGTAGGAACTCACATGCACACACTTCACATGATTTTCGACAATGATAAACACCAAAAACAACTATCTAAACAACACAAAGCTAAATCGAAACAACTAAAATCAAAATTAGGGTTTAGTAATAGTTACGCTGCAAGATCAGTTAGTGGGAGGGAAGTCATGAGGGTATTTGTCCTTTAGATAGGCCATATAAGTAGGGTCCCAGTCATTGTAGTCGACTGTAAAAGTAGATATGGCCCTTTTCCTCCCACTGGCGGAACCAACACGGGTCGGAGCCATTGGAGACTTAGGGAAGACCACAGTCACCTCCTCCAGGGAGCTAAGTCAGGAACCTCCACCACCACTACGGGTGCCTCAGCTAGGGACCTCCTTCTTCGCTAGATCTTCCCTCGAACCTTGCTCCTCTTCTTCAGCACTCGAAGTGTTCACACACACAACCTCCTTCTTCTCTAGATATAAGGTCGCACCCTGCTCCTCTTCCTCATCACTCCCAGTGTACTCAACGAGTTTCGCTCCAATTTTTCCATAGGTGAATCTGGAAAACGAAGAAGAGCACCGACGAACTGGTTTCATTATTCCAGTTCCTCGCTGCGCCTTGTAGCGAGTAAACGAAGGCTCAGTCTTCGTCTCAGGGGTGAGGCGTTCAAGGGACTCATTCTGATTTGGATTGATACTCATGTTTTTGGGGAGAGATCGATGAAGAAATTAGAGTTAGGGTTTTGCATAGAAAATGGGAAGGGGAACAAAGTAAGAACATGAGAGAGAAGAGGCATTTGGATGAACTTCTGGAGAATTATCTTGAAGATAATTGCTGGGTTGCATCTTCGAGGGAAATTGAATGCAATTCATTGAATGTGGTAATTGGGAGATGAATGGATGCTGATGAGACATGGGTGGAGGGGGTTATATTTTGGTGGGAATCATTAGAGTGAGTTAGATAATTAGGATTTAATTGAGTGTAAATTAAAGATGCTAAACAAAGTTAAAAAATAAAAGTAAGGGTAAGATGGTCTTTTTAAGCTTTAAAATTTACTAAAATAGGAAAGAAAAAAAATTGTTGCAGATAATATAGAGCACCCATTTATAGCAAATGTTGCAGATAATCGTGGGCGGAGAGAGTATTATGGATTGACAATATATTCAATAACTTTTCTTTTGGTAATCTTTATGAAAGTGACTTATAAATATGTTTTTCATTTTATAAATTTGCAACCCAGTATATTTTTTAATTTGTTAGTTGGAGGATGAATAGTTGTAGCGTTTTAGGTAACGATTAGCGCTTCGAACAAGTTAAAACATTAGAAAAAAAAAGTGTATTTGGTAAATGTTAGATTATGTAAATAATCTTGTGTACATAAGTTTGTAAATTAGTTATGTATCCTTAGTCATTAACCCTAGTATACGCTTGTATATATATTGAAGATTAATCAATGAGAAGGCTATGACAAATATTTTCATATTCTCTCATGGTATCACGAGCTTAGGTTTTTGCTGATTTTGTGACTACTATTGGTTTTACTAACAGCAAATCTGACAACTCTTTGTTCATTTTCACCATGGTCATGACATTGCATATTTATTGTCGCATGTTAATGACATTGTGCTAAAAGCTTCTACAAAGCCTCTTCGTCACCAAATCATCTCCCGGCTCTGTTCTGAATTTGCCATGAAAGATTTGGGAAACCTGAGTTATTTCTTAGGTATTGCAGTGACTCGTGACAAGAATGGCTTATCATTGTCTCAGAAAAAGTATGCGAAGGAAATTCTAGAGAATACAGGCATGGCTAACTGCAATTCTTCTCCCACTCCGATTGATTCTAAAGGGAAAATGAGCACAGACTCCGGTGATCTATATGTGGATCTGACCATGTATCATCGATTGTGTGGTGCTCTGCAATACCTCACCTTCATTCGACCTGAGGTATCCTATGCGGTTCAACATGTATGTTTATTTATGCATTCTCCCAGAGTTGCTCTTATGGATGCTCTGAAACGCATTCTGCGTTATATTCAAGGTACGACTGTTTTTGGCTTACGCTTATATAAATCATCTATCACCTCTATCTTGTCTTACACGGATGTCGACTGGGCTAGCTACCCTGACATTCGTCATTCCACATCCGGTTACTGTGTTTTTCTTGGTGATAATTTGATTTCATGGTCCTCAAAACAACAACCTACTTTGTCAAAGTCTAGTGCGGAAGCAGAATACAGAGGGGTTGCTTATGTTGTCTCTGAGTCAGGTTGGATTCGGAATTTATTATTAAAGCTACATTGTCCGGTCTCTAAAGCTACATTGGTTTATTGTGACAATGTGAGTGCTACATATCTCTCGGGCAATCTTGTTCAACATCAACGAACAAACAAAATACATTGACTTGATATTCACTTTGTTCGTGAGAAAGTACAGCGCGATGAGGTCCGTGTACTACATGTTCCATCCCGATACCAGATTACAGACATTTTCACTAAAAGTCTGTCAAAAGTCTTATTTGATGATTTTAGGGACAGACTCAACGTTCGTAGTCCTCCCGTTTTGACTGCGGGATTGTGTTAGATTGTGTAAATAATCTAGTATACATTAGTTTGTAAATTACTTATGTATCCTTAGTCATTAACCCTAGAATACACTTGTATCCTTATTCTCATATTCTCTCAATAAAGTAACATTTCATGTAACGGTCAGTGGTAGAGATAATGTATTGGTAGCTTAGCTTTCCTCAAACGTTAATAATGTTAGTAATTGAAAGGTACTCCGTACTTATTAACTATTGTATATACATATAATTAAATAATAGGAAAAATACACTTTAATAATCCCAACTTTTCCTGATTTACTTTGAATTATAATCCACTTTTGATTATTGTATAATAATCTCAACTTTCACCTGTGTTTTCTTCTAACAATCCCAAACCGGTCACAAAAGTCTAACAACTTAATATTTAAGGTGAGGATGCCCCATTTTCTCATAGTGAGAAATAAAATCTGTTTTCTTGGCATTTTCGTAAATAAACTAACAATTTTATTCAACTTTATTTAATTGTGTAGCCCACAATAATGGAAAAGTTGTTGATTTATTTTCGAAAATGCCCTATGAGAAACAAATCTCGTTTGAAAAAGGGAATTTCCCATTTAAGGTCACTTCTTTTTTTTTTTTTTTTTTTTTTTTTTTTTTTTTTTTTTTTAATTTTGCATGCATGGTTTGGTTTGGTAGCCTAGCAAGGTGTCTGTGTGACACCCTCCTGCAATCTTGCACCATCTCTGCAAACCTACAAATTTACCCCAATTTCTCAAATCTCAAAGAAAAAACCTGAATTCGTACTACACAATAAACACAAGCTAAATTTTCAGTAATACCCCCCAATTTTACTCTGCTTCGTACCCATTTTCATTCTCAGAACTGCAATTTTGCTATTACAGGACTCAATTACTGCAACTTCTGGTATATTCATTTATCCACCTTCTTTCTCTTCTACCCTTTTAATTCATCGTAATCTCCTTTTCTTCAACTTTTGGGGGTTTTTTTGCTGATATTTTTTTTGTTTTGGTTCTGAAATGGTTTATTTCTTCAGTTGTTAGTGGGTTTTTTCGATGCACATTGAATGAGTTAATACAAATGAAATTAGTTAACTATCATATTTTACTGTGCTTTTTGTATTTATCTTTGTATATACTTTATGGCTTTATACATTGTGAGTAGCTCACACTATTCATTGTCTTTTGCACGCTTGTGTTTTAGGGATTCAAAATGTGATTAAATTAAGGAATTTGTTGGTCAATTGCACTTCTTTTAAGGTTTTAATAATTGTTAGGGTTTGAAATTTATGTATGAGAGGAAGTGCTGACTGACTGCTGAGAGTTTGGGATGTTTGTATGAGAGCAGGTGCTGATTGCTGAGGGTATATCAATGTGATGGAGGAAATGCACTTGAGTCCTACACCGAGTTGAAAAAGAAAGGGGCGGTGTTTTAGGTTGTGTTCTTGTGTATGCTGGTGATTTTGAAATTGGGTGGGTTGTATGTTTCGGCCTTTTGGGTTTTGTTGATGCAGTAATAAAGATTAGGTTTGCTGGGTTATTAGCAAAGTTTGGGGAAAACTTGTCATCATTTTGTGTGTTAAGTCCTTAAACTAACTTGATTTTTCTTTTCCCTGTATAGCGAGGGTTGATTTACTTTTGTTAGTAGTTAAATCGTGATTAATATTGCTTTGGATTATTGAAATGGTGTATTCTCGAATACAATACAAGTAGTTGTTTGTTTATTTGTCTGTCTAAGTCTTTTGAGTGAATTGAATGTTGTCTATTGGTCTATTTGTTTATTTCAACTTTTGTTGCTTGGCTTCTTGCGATTTTTGCTTTTAATTGCAGCTAGTTTGTTAGTCTTTGGCCTTTGTCCATAGTAGTTTTATTGAGTGGAAGTCTTGATTGCTGATCATATGAGCGTGTATTATTAAGATTGCAGATTGGATTTTCTAAACTAATGTATCAGAATATTCATTATGATATTAAATGGGGCCTTGTAAACTGTGTTGTTCAGGTTGTATCTATTGCCTTTAATGCTCTGTGCTGAAGGTACCGATGTTTTTTCTTCAGAAATTATTATGAAGTGTATCATCCAGCTTCATCTGGCAGACATGTTTTGAGATTTTATGCACTAATTTCTTGCTTGGCTTGATGTACTAGTTTTCCGTTACTAGGTGCACTAATGCGAGTATTGGCAACAATCAACTTGCTTTTTTTCCTAACCTCCAAAGAAAAATAGAATACTGCATAAATTTTAAAAACACGAACCTAAAAAGTTTGGACAACATAAATAGATGAACTCTGATTCTTTGGTGGTTTAAATAATAATTTTTTAAAAAAATAGGTAAGTGATCATTGTAATGCCATAATATTTTCAGATTAATGATTGCAGAATTACAATAATTTAGTAGTTTATGATACTCATACATGGTATACTTTGAAGAAGTTTAGCTGTTTTCTGGTTGAAGGTATAAGATTTGTTTTGTGCAATAAGGCCCAAATATTAAGTGTCATTGCATGCTTTTGTAGCTATATACTTAGAGCTGGGGTTGTGTAAATATGTACCGTTCTATGTGTTGTATGATATTTTATGCTTGGTGCGTTCTTGGTTTTGTATAAAAATGGTTTGACAAATCAAGTTTGAGGTTAAATCTATTATAGCCCGAAAGGAAGCATCATCATTTGTTGCACTTTGATATGATTAATTCTCTCATTTGAGTATAATTTCTTGAAAAACGAAAACAACGCACAAGAGTTGTTTGGCTTGTGTAATGTAAGCTATCACTCTATTCCATTGCTTTTTGTTTGATCCTTAGTTTTTGGTGGCAAAAGCTTTCTTTTGCATATTCCTTCCTTTTGAGGCATCTACAATGCCTAAATTTTCTATCTAAATGATTAATTCTGTTTTCTAAATTTCTTTATTTTGTTGAATCTTAAATTTTTTGTCTTTCGTATATAGTAGAGTTTAATAGTAAATCTGATAGGAGTATTCCAATGCAGCTTCTTTTCCTTCCACTTTCTTCAATGGCCCTCCAGAAAATGAAGATATTCAATTCTGTTGCCAGCAAGATTGTGTGCACCGTGAAATCTTCTCAACACTTCAGCAAACGTGGACTCTGTAGCTTCTACGGTGAGTCAACATAGGCCAAGAACGTGAATGTCTTCATGAAACAGGGCCCACAGAATTCCATGGAGTCGTGGGAAGAAGATGGATCGCTTTGATTTCGGTTTGATGTTCCAGGAGTCCCAAAAGAGAAAGTGAAGCTGGAGGTTGTAGGGAATACATTGTCTTTTGAAGCTGAAGCAGTGGAGATTCCATGCGATGAGGGAATTCGGGCTTACTACTCTTCTATTGAGCTGAACCCAATATTTTACAATCTAGCCAAAGTCCAGGTAGAACTACTTCATGGAGTTCTCTACATCAACATTCCTATCCATTCCTCTCCCTAAATTTTATCGTGCCCTGAGTTTGTGAAATGGTAGCCTATCTTCTATGCATTGTAGTACTTGAAATGTAAATACACAACAAAAAAAAAAATTCTGTAATCGGAGTTAAAACTGAAAATTCTATCTCATAGACCCTGTTAGAACCCCAAAATTTTATGCTCCTCTTCTAAAACGTTTCTGTGGCACGTTCTTTGTATTATGAAATAGTTGTTCAGCTCCCCATTGCTGGACTGTTCTTGTACGTACACTGATTAAGGGACATCTTTTCAGTCTGCAGTAACCTGATTTGGATGCTGATGTTGAAAATGGGAAGAATTTTTGAAATCAGAGTGAAAACTGTGTCATACATCAACAAATTATTTTGTATATGTATAACCTGAACCTGTTTCCAAATGCAGTGCCATTTTAATTTATGTTTCCTGCATAAGGTGATGGTTTTTAAGCTTTCAATGTTATGATTAGTATCGTAGTTTTATCTGACCAAGAATTATATGCTTGTATAATATTTGTATGTTACATTACTGTCAATTTTTGTGTAACATGGATATATGAACATGTGCAACTAAAGAACATGCCAAGAGTCGTTCCATAGCGAAACACATAAACATGTTCGTGGAACCATGGAAATACTATTATATTCTAACTTGCTTTGAAATGGTCTTCACCACACAGATGTGTCTTTACTTTGTGGAACCATGGAAACTCTATTATAATTATTCGAGTCTTTCTTGGAAATATTCTTTATTCTTCACTAACAATACAAATGGACAGAGACGAGAAACTTCATGGAAGAAGGACATTAATTTTCAATTATCGGAGTCATACTCGTATTGTTGAAGTATTGTTGAGGGAGTCATATTGCAGCAGCATTGGTATTACGTTCAGTCAACAAGATTGTTAAGCAATTGGCATCTTAACCAAGTTCTTCTGACACAAAAATGGACATCGGCACAATTTTGTCTGCTGCTCAAACACTCTTTGCAGCGCTGGATTGCTCAGAATTGAAAGACATATGCTCAATTTTTGGCTACAAATCGCTACTTAATGACCTCCAAAACACCGTCCACACTATTTAAATTGTGCTCAGCAAGGCAGAGGCCAAGCAGGAGCTCCTTGATGAAGAGCAGCACTATGTTGAGGAACTCAAGGATGTAGTTTATGAAGCAGATGATCTGCTTGATGAATTCATCACTCTTATCGAGCAGAAGAAGATCAGACAATGACAAGAAGGTACGTCTCTTCACTTTTTTCAAGAAGGTTGGTGTTGCTCATAAGATGTCTAGAGGGGTTAAGAAGATCAAGTAGAAGTTGGATGCTGCAGTTTACAACAATCAGTTTAGATTTCAGATTGATCATGAGCCTCAGGAAGAGAAGGCCTGAGATGAAAGAAAGAATGATGAGAACATTGTAAAGATTGCTGATCAAGTCAAAAAAAAAAAAAAAAAAAAAAAAAAAAAAAAAAAAGCAAAAACTTGTGGACTTGTGTTGCTGATCAAGATCATAAACAATTGGATATAGAGGGGATTCTTGGTAAGATTCTAGTTTCAGCTACTGGCCTGAAGAATGAAGGCTCCACCCCAGAATTAGTACAGAACCAGCTTCGAGAACTACTAGCAAGCAATAAATATTTGCTTGTGTTAGATGATGTTTGGACTGAGCACTGTGATCAATGACATACTCTAGTGTGATATCTGATTGGAGGACAAAGTGGAAGTAGGATTGTGGTGACTACACATTTGAAAGAGAGCAAGAATTATAGGAGATGGTCCAATGTATGAATTGTAAGGGTTGTCAAAGGTAAATTCATGGAAGTTTTTTCAAAATGCAGCTTTGGATCAGAAAAATTAAATCACTCAGAGGACTCGGTCAAGATTGGACAAGAGATTGTTGAGAGATGTGCTCGAAACCCTCTCGCTATAAGAGTGGTAGGAAGTTTTCTGTTTGGCCAAGACGAGAGCAAGTGGCAATCATTTCTGGATATTGGATTAGCCAACTTCAGAGAGAGTCATGATAACATTACACCTATACAGTTGCTGAGTTACCATCATCTTGAGTCTCCAATAAAGTGCTGCTTTAGTTATTGTGCATTGTTTCCCAAAGATTTTGAGATAGGGAAAGAGATATTGATAAGCCTTTGGATGGCACAGGGCTATATTATGCCGTTAGATAAAGGCCAAAGTATCGAGGATGCCGGTGAGGAATATTTTTCAATTTTGTTGTGGAGATGTTTTTTCCAAGACGTTAAGAAGAATGAAGATGGTGAGATCAACTCATGTAAGATACATGATCTGATGCATGAGATTGCTCAAAAAGTCACACAGGGGGAGATTTCTGCAAAAACAGTTAGCATTGATGATTTGGATAAAAAAGTTCGCCATTTATCTTTTGATAGAAGTTCATTTGCAAATTACTCTTTCAATAACACCCATATTCGCTCCTTTCTTAATGTTAACGACAATTTTCAATTTGTCAACATGGAGCAGTTGCTACCAGTGAAGGCTTTAGTAGCAATTTGCAAGTGCTTAAGGGCATTGGACCTGTCTGAGTTAAATATCAAAAGCTTGTCAAGCTCGATGGGTAATTTGTTGCACTTAAGGTATCTGGACCTCTCATTTAATGGAGAACTGGACGTACTCCCTAAGTCAATTACAAAACTGTACACCCTACAAATCCTAAAACTAAGGGAATGTTTTTACTCAAAAGTGTTTCCAAAACACTTGAGTAGATTAGTTAACCTTAGGATCTTAGATACATGGGGTTGCTACAACCTGACTTTCATGCCTCGGGGCGTAGGTAAGCTGACTTACCTTCACACGCTGAGTAAGTTTATAGTGGGTGGTGTAGGAAGTGGTTTAAGCTGGGAGCAATAGTGTGATGGGATGGATGACTTAAGGCTCTTGACAATCTGAAAAATGATCTTGAAATTCATATCAAGTGGCCCCTAAAAGGTACTAATGCTGTCAAGCAAGAAGGTTCTGGTAGAAGTGTATTAGTGTAGTAAATATATTAGGAATAAGAAACACGTCAAGCACATTAGATTAATTTTATACATGAGGAGGCTAATGGAAGAGTAGTAATTAACGAGGAAGCAAGATTGCGATTGATGGAAGAACTGCAGCCACATTCGAAGCTCAAGGGGTTAAAAATGTTGGGATACCATGGTGTGTAACTGCCTGATTGGGCAATTGATAATAACATGGTAAAATCTCTCCCATATCTTGTAAAGCTTCATCTTGAAGATTGCAAGGACTTGGAGCAAGTGCCACGCATAGGCAAATTGCAATATCTGAAGGTGCTCTCGCTTTTATCATTAGAAAAATTGGAGTATATAGAAGAAGATAATCCCAGGCTTCTGTGTCTGGATTGTTAACTGCAGAAGAACCACTATATTTTCCCTCCTTAGAGCAACTTTGGCTAAAAAACTTGCCAAAGTCGAAAGGATGGATGAAATCAGGGGTGGAGGTGGGTGATGTTCATCTTTCTCAATTGAAGTCATTGGTTATAGACATATGCCCAGAACTGACATGGATTCCGCTGAGTCCTATCCTAGAGGATCTGACTGTATATTCATTCAATGAAAGACTGATGCTGATGAGAAGCCATGAAGTTTCAGATAGTCCTCCGATCCCTTATTTCCTTCCTGTTTGAACATTGACATTCCTCTTCATCACAATTAATTGACCCTGGAAGTTCAAGTAATAGTTATAGTAGTAACGTTCTGAAATTAAGGGCAGTGGAATCAGACAATGTGGCCTGGCTAAACTCACTGCTAGTTGAGGCTTTTCAGTGCCTATTTGAGTTGCGCATTAAATGTGATAAAGCGGTGGAGAGTTTGGCTGAACTTGGGGTGATTCTCCATAGCTGCTCATCTTCCTTGCGATCCTTGATCATTCATGATATCCACAAACTAAAGACTTTGTATGGAGGGTTGGAGCAATCTCACTGCACTGGAGAAGCTACGGATATCTGTAAGTCATAACCTGAGGCTATCAGAAGAAGTTACACAGAATAGTACTGGCACACCGTGGCCATCCTTTCATCAGAGCCTTCGTTACTTGCACTTGTGGACACGCCGCAGCTCATAAAGCTGCCCAATTCCATGCAGTACTTAACTGCCCTCCATACCCTTGAAATTTCAACGTGCAAACAATTGTAATCATTGCCCTTGTGGATTTCACAACTCACCTCTCTCAAGCAACCGGATTTCAGGGTGCTCAGCTAGCCTGGGGAGAAGATGCCAAAGTAACCCAATAGGAGAGGACTGGCCCAATATTAAACATATCCCTACCATTGTAGTTCGAAAAGCACTAGACAGCTAATTATTAGCCACCTGTAATGACTGTGTCGAGTGGAAGGGAGGAAGGGAACATTCTTTTCATTTCATGTAAAGTTACCAAATAACGATTAGATTAACATACACTCTTGTAGTTATTGGTAATTCATCGGTTGCTTCTGTCCTACCATTGTTATTGTCTTATTTTCTGTTTTCAAAGTATTACTTGATACGAACAACAGAAGTACAAATCAGTGGTAATATTGAACTCTGTCTCATAACTCTGTTTCCTGATGCAGTCCATGTTCATTTTATGTATACAATTTATTGTTAGAAACTATTGAGATTTCTCATTGAGTCACAGTAAATATACTGGAAGTACCTGCACTTGTATCTTTGAGACTTTTTTTTGGCCGAAGATCAAAAGGAAAACAATAGTCCATATTGACCTTTTGCTAATAATCAGGCACCAATTGAAATTAGATAAATATTTTTGTGAAATGTAAAATTGTATGAATTGAATAATTGATATATTGTAATATAGGATGTTTATTTGCATTGAGGGTGCATTCTATTCACCTGTTTTTTACTTATCTGAATTTATTTGAACTTATTTTAGTTATCAATTAAACTTGGTAGTCCTGATTAACCCTTATCACAATTTATCTGAACTTATTTTTCCTGAACTTATTTTATCTTAACTTATTAAGCCTGAAATAAGTGGAAATAAGGTGAACAATACAGAGCCTGATTCTGAGCCAGAACGCCTGAAATACAATTATTAATTAATCACTAATTTTTATGTACAATTATGTACTGTAAGGTAACAGTTCATAAAATTCAAACTATACATCTTTCTTTCTAGCAGATTGAACCACAAGATGTGTATCCAAGCATAATCTCTTCTCTCCTAAATACGTGTGCACTAAGCCACTGTTCTATATTTGCCTGAGCATGTTGCTTGGCTGTTTGTCTTGTCTATGTCTTTGAAGCTTTTGCTAAGCATTAGCGCGACAAGTTTGATCGGGCAACATGGCTGTGAGAACTAATAATCTAAATAATATGGGCACTTTTTTTTTTGAATAAATATATGGGATCTTGGTTCTTAGGCTTTAGCAAGTCTGTGAAACCAAATATCATCTACAGTAACTCAGTAAGCTCATAATGCACATTTTAAAAAGGAAAAAAAAAACGTATGTTAACAACTTAAAGTACAGAGATCACATTATTATAAGATTGTATTAATATTCTTTTTTTACAGAGTATTTATTATTTTAACAGAAGATTGTATTTATTATAACAAGGTTCCAATTTAATTGTAATTATGTTATATTGGTTATATAAGCAAAACCTACTGCTTCCTTACAACAATGTCATTGTAGTATAGTGGTAAGTATTCCCGCCTGTCACGCGGGTGACCCGGTCTCGATCCCTGGCAACGACGTAATTATTTTTAATCTATCTCATTGTTGAGTTTACAAATAATAAAAACAATCTAATTAACTCCTTGAACAGTTTTGTTAATTTAAGAAATACAATGAATAATAAAGTCGGGTTTGATCCCGGCAGCAACAGCGTAAATCAAGAAGTGGAAAAATAAAGGGAAGCATAAAGGAGATGATTCCAAGCATCAGGCACACCAGGAAGACACCAATGACTACAATCAGGAAGTCTATGTCTATGAATTCCGTAAACTCCAGGATGTCCATCTCTTCTTAATTGAGAAAGTGGTGTTACTCTTAACAATTCTACTGGCTTTTCCATTTTCTTAATCACCTTTTCTACTATCCTTTCTGCTGGGTGTTCTTCAACTACTCCATTGTTTGTTGCTCCGAGTAACGGTCGCTTTACTCCTATACATGTTCTTGCATTTGGAGCTGTCCAGTTAAGGGCACTGCAACACATACAATACGACTATGATCAACATGTATAAAGGTATATGTTGCGTAATTCAATAGTTAGATAGAAAGTCTAATAAAAGCCGAGTTTGCAAGAGAAATTGTCTTACTTCATATGATCAGGGGAGACTCCTTGAAAAAACACCCTGATATCTGAAGAGCTCAAATGTAAGTCTACCCATCTAGTCCATGTCTTCAATCCCTTTTCGTATGCAACGAGTCGGTCCATGTCTTTATACAACTTATTCCCATATTCAATGAAATCCCACCTGTTTTTTTATCCAAACATACAAATTACTTAGTTGAATGCTAACATTAAAGTGTTGTGCAATACATTAGCAACCAAATTTGATTCAATTATCTCATAATTTTAGGGATATTTGATATGATGATAACAAATACAAACAACTTACCTCAGAAGCTGCTTCAATGGGGGATACGAGAACTAGATTCAACAGAGAACGACAACTGCGCTTCAATGGAGAACGTTGAATGCGCTTCAACAGAGCAATTCAATGGGTTGGAGTGTTGGACGCCTTGGATCCCTATTAAAAGCCATGACCCATGACCCGCCACAATTATTAATGGGTTAGATCCGTCTAATAAATAAATGGCTGAGTCTTTATACGATCGTCCAATTAAGGGGATGCGCAGAATTTTTAAGGATTTAGAATAAATCTGTTTTAAAAAGTACGGAGTATTAGTTTATCTTAACGCTTTCATTTCTCAAATACTTCTTCACACACCAAAGCTTGTATAATTTGTTTGTAAGTTTTTTTTTTTTTTTTTTTTAATTTTGAAAACGGCAGAAATTACATTAATTAAACTGAGTTTACAACAAACAAAAGGAAAGTATGGTAACATAAGTGAATTACATGTTATCATGTCTTAAATGTGGTTAGGATGAGTTTTCCTAAAAAAAATGTGGTTAGGATGACTCTTTTGTCGTGGCCATTATGGCAAATTAATTGTGTCGTGTGAAGTGTGAACTATGCAATTGTATAGGTAGTGTTACCTGTGAGGTTTTAGCATTAGCTGACGGTCACTTACATTTTATTATAAATACAGTTGCAGATTAGCAAGTGTAAAATTGTATGAGTTAGTTAATTGTATGAGTTAGTTAATTATATGAGTTGGAAATTGATCTGTGTAAAACAGAAAATTATTAGTTAATAACTTTAGAAGTGACAACTTTACTTAAACCCATCTAGATCAACCGAAGAAATTTCCAAAATGCAAGGAGGGATTACATCACTCCACACCCATTGGCCAAACTCACATGGTTGAAAGTAAGTCTTTATGTGCTACATTATTACCCCATTGCCTTACAAAAGACCATAAATCACTAGTAAAATTAAACGAAAAATTAATCTAGAATATCCTTTATAATCAGATGAAAGGAACTGGAGTCATTCAAATGCTTCCTCATTGCCTCAATCACCACCAGATTATCACTCTCGATCCTAATGCAGCTCATACCCTTGTGTATGTCTCGCAATCTTCATGCCCTAAAATACCGCTTTCACCTCTGCAATCTTAGTCTCTCATTTTGCACTCCACTACACCGTAGCTCCCCAAAGCACCACCCCCTCACTATTCCTGCAGACTGCACCCAACACCGTCCCCACCTCCCCAAAACACCAGCATCAACAATAATTTTAACCACACCAGATGTCGGAGGAGACCTGCCCACAGAGACACTCTTTCCACCCCTCCATTCCCCATGTTATTCAACTTTCCCACCTTTAATCTTCAAAGCATAGGCAACAATTTGCTCAACATTCGGATTTTCACCCTCAATCATCCATTTGTTCCTTGCGCTCCACATAGCCCAACACATGGTAATTAAAGTCATCATATCCTCTCCAAAATTACCCAAACAATGTTTCCACCACTCACCCATACTACAAAGAGAGTGAGACAAAACCATAGAATAATTGCACTTACTCCAAAATCCATTATTCTACTCTGTGGCAAACACCACAAGCTAGTAGCCAAGGCACAAATTAGCTACAAAAAAAATTAGCTTTAAAATCTTATGTGGCCAAAAAAACTAATTTGCTAATTAGCTTACCATTGAAGTTACTCTAATACTCCATCTGTTCCTTTTATTAGATACATTTTGACTTTACACCCTAGTGTCCCGACCTGTCCATCAAACACCCACCCAAACCCTAATTCTAACTCTCGAACCCACTTATTTGGCGAACTCCCACCCAAACCCCAACTCTAACTCTCAAACCCCAATTATGTGGCGAAATCTCACCTAGCCCTAACCTAGCCGATCGATCGAACCCACACAACTCCCACCCACCCTAGTCGGCACTAACCTATGACCACCCAGCCCTCTACACCAACCCCGACACCCTAATCTTTTTAAAATTTATCATAGTTAAAAATAAAAATAATTTTTTATATTTAAAATTAATATTAAGATATATTTTATTTTTAACTAAGTCAATTATATTTAATTGAGAGTTAATTATAGTATAAGTCAATTAATGACTTGTACGATCGATCACAAGTCAAATCTAGTACTTAAATTATTAGGGAAATTCTACATGGCGGTCTCATGAATTCAACTTTTCTATGTGGAAGACGAACTCTTTTCCAACTCTCTTAAGTGGCACCAAGGTTTAGAAAAATTAACCACAGTGACCTTTTTTAGGTTTATGGCTAATTTGATTTTTTTTTTTATTAAAAAATTATTTAAATTATATTTTAAAATAATAAATTTAAAAAAAAAAAAAATTCCCGCCACCTATCCCCACCGTCAAACCCTAACCCCACCCCTAGCCTCATCGGAAACCAACCAACCACCCCTCTTACCCATCGAAACCGAACGTCTGGATCTGTACACCACCTTTAACCCATCCCCGACCTCCAAAACCACCAACCCAGCCAACCTTGACCCCCAAAACCACCTAAAGTCACCGTGCGCGCTCGTCGGACTTGTTGGTGGTTTTTGGTATCGGGGTGGCTGGGTAGGCGGTTACGGGGGTCAGGGCTAGGTTAGTTGGCCTTTTAAAAGGCCGGCTGACGAGTTTTGGTGGTCAAGGGGTGCGGCCGGCCAATTTTCGTCGAATTTAAGGTTTCGCGGTGAGGGTGGCGGTGACTTCGTAGTTGTTTTGGGGATCAGGGTCCTCTTTCATCTTGGGGATTTCAATCCGTTGGAGGTGCTGGTGAGAACCTTGTCTAAATTTCGAAGGTTATGAGGGGAGTGTGTAGATCGTCCTCCTCCGTCGCCATTGCCCACCTTTGTGTGGAAGGTTTGTGTTTATTCAAAGGGTCTCCCCGTCGGTGAAACAAGGTCTAAAGACTAGGCCTAACGCCGCTGTCATAAAGGTCATCGGTATTTTTGACCGTGACGGAAACGGTAAAGTTAGGGTTAGGGTTTCGTGGGTCCTTGCACTGAAGGGCTAGGTCTAACGCCGCCGTCAAGAGTAGTAAGTGACAAAAACGGTGAAGTTAGGGCTATGGTTTTGAGGTTCCTAGTGTAAGTGGTTTCGGGTTGTCGGGTTAGACGGTGCATTCCTTGAGTTTGTTCCCTTTCTTAGTATGTTTTTTCTTAGTAATTATCAGAGTTTACTTGCCTTAGTTTTTGTTATGGTATGTTTTAGCCCCCTTTGGTTGTTTTCCGGCTATTTAGTTGTTTTGGCTATAGTATTTTGGATGGTTGTGTGCAGTGGGAGTTAAGCCCCTTTGTTAAGGACAGTGGGGTGTTTACAGTGGTAAGAGAGGTTACAGGTGCGGTTGTTAGGGGTTTGAACAAGAAGTTGGCTATGGCTAAGGTGAAATGTGTAAGTTATTGGAGTGGTATAGGTTTGGTTTCTCTTCCCTCGGATGTAATGATTTTTTTGGTCATTACTCCTGATCCTTATTATCTGAAGCAAGCGCCCAAACTTTGTTTTTGGGTTTCTCGAGCCTCAACGTTGTCAAAGCTTTCTTTCCAACAAGGAAAGCTATTGATTGGGAGGTCACTAGTTCAAGTGACCCGTTTGATTACCTTACTTGGTGATGAGTTGATTCCGCCTGGTAAGGAAGTGCTAGCCATGGTCAAACAGTTTCGATTCCCTCCGTTGCTCTCTTCTTGGAGTGTAGGATGTTTTTGCTCCTTGGTTTGAAAGAAGTCCCTAATCTGCGGCTTATCCGGCCAATTCAAGTTTACTTTCGTCTCTAGTCTAAAAAGTTGTTGTAAAGGATTTAGTGCTAAAAGCCATATTTTAAGTTTAAGTCCTTGTTTTGTAGATTGTAAATTGATTTTATGAATACATTTGCTCTTGTCAAAAAAAAAAAAAAAAAAAAAATAAAAAAATATCTTCTATATTGATAGCAAATCACAACATCCCATAAGTAACAAACCATCCCCCTAATATATAAATTCAGCTATACAATAAACTTCGACAATATTAGAGCAAGAAATAAAAACTCATTGAACCAACTCTAACACAATCAAATAAATCTCCAAATAGATCAACTATAATCATAAATTTCAGTAAAACGCAACCAAAAATTAGAAATATGGGGATGGAAAAGGGTACCAGCTGTAACGAAACACATGTTAACAAAAAAAAGAGTAACATCCCAACATCCTCTCTAAAGAGAGCTATCACATTCACATTGTCTATATTGCCTTCATAAACTAAATTACTGCAAGATTTAACAAGTAAAACTAATTTAACAAGAATTGAAGTCAGGCTCTGAACCAGAAAAGTATTCTAGGGGACCAAAAGTTTCATTTAAGTTGTGGGGTGCAGACTGTCACGGCTCCCAGCAATTCCCCTATGTTCCCACCCATGACTGGAGTAATGTTAAGCTGCCTCAGAGCTTCAATGGGTTCTCCTTCCCCTCTGTCCCTAAAAATACAACCCTTTATCTCTTTTGGACACAGGGATTTAAAAGAGCATATTATAAATATGGTCAAGTTCGTACTCCGTATATTTTCAATAACACAAGGAGTTAGCAAAGTACGAGTAGTAACTAATCAATGAAGCAAAAACTGATTAACATGGCCCATCTAATTCTGATTTAATCCACCCGATTGTGTATCAGCCTACACACAACTACACAAGTAGTAAGGAACATATCAATTTTACTATTTCGACAACACACAAATTTAACCAGTAGTAATCTTCTATTCAGGGGTATCTTCCCCTATAGTTTTTCCAAGATAAACTGAATTCTGTGTCACCTATACAGCAGTTCCAAGATCTAACTCAAGAATCATGTCCTTACTGATTGATAATTTAGAGATAC